ATGTGAGTATAAAAGCACCAGAAAAGTAAGTTATCCATGCAGAAAGAAATTAAAAATTATAATCCAGAAACCAAATATATTTAAGAAGATTTCTGTTTAGCCATAAAGAAATAGTAAAGATAACCACTGACAGATTTAATATGAATATATACAATGCCTTATAAAACTAGACATGTTTATAAAACTAGAAATACACCTAGGTTGCATACTTATTATCAACTGTACCAGAGAAAAAAACCTATATTCACTAAAAACCTTATACACCAACTTATAACTATACAAATCTGTAAACAGTTGAAATATCCTTCAGTGGGTACAAACTTGTGAACAGACCATAGCAAATTCATACCAGAGAACATACACTAGTGAAAATGAAGCCAACTATTGATAGGCAAACAAACTTGGATCAATATCAAGGGAATTATGCTGAGGGGGAAAAAGAAAAGGCAATCCCAAAAGGTTATATAGCACATAATTCATTTATTTTGAAATGGCATTGTGGAAATGGTGAGCAGATTAATAGTTACAAGGTAAGAGAGAGAAGGCTGGGGGGGAAAGTAGCTATATCTGTAAGTTCAGCAGCCATGATCTTATGGTGATAGACTTTTCTGTATCCACACTGTAGTGATGGGTACATGACTCTACACATGTAAGAAAATTACCTAAAAAGAAACACAGACCTAATCATTAGTACTAACAAAATTTGTAAAAGCTGAACATGATAAATTCTACCCTGGAGCAATCTTCTGGTTGTATTATCATAAGATAGAAAAGATGTTATTAGTGAAAGAAATTGGGTGAAGAGACCAAGAAATCACTCTGTATTATTTTTTCTACAATGGCATGAAAATCTACAATCATCTCAAAATAAAAATCTAAAAATGAAAAAAAGCAGAAATATGCTTTGGAGATACTCATTCAAATTAGTAAGCATATCCCATGCCTCTCAACTATGTAGTCAAGTAATTGATTGATAATCCAAAAATGTCAGAACCATGTCAAGAAAAGCCTCAAACTAAACAATTAAATTCTACAGATTAGTTTAGAAAGCCATAATTTCTATCTGAAGGAAATAAGTGAAGAAAGACAGTGAGATTTTCTACAATTACTATTATCTAGAACAAAAGTAGGATTTGGCTTATAAAATTAGATTAGTACTAATTAGTAAACCCATTAGAAGAAGGGAGAACCATAACTGATGTATATGCTTGTTCAGCCAAATTAACCAAAGCTAAATATCCATTTGAGTGTGTAACAAACTAGATGGGATTCTGACTTGGTAAACAAGGACACCCTGTAAATAAAAAGGTAGTCAAAACCCTATGGGAGAGGAAGAAATACTACTTTTGGTTCTTTCTAAACTCCAGCTCTATGAGCATTACAAGTGACCACAGAATAATGCCATATCTTTCTATTCACACTTATTGAATATTACTATCTGCATGCTTTCCCATGCAACATTAGATTTATTGTTACCACAAGCTCATAAAATGTTTTTTGGAAGTAATTTCTACCCTTGATCATAATATATTATTTTCTCTCTCTCTTTTTTTTTTAACAAGTAGGATGCATTTTTTTTTCTTTAAAGATTTATTTATTTATGCATACAGAACTGGGGTACAGGCCAGAGGTGGAAGGGCGATGAGAAGCTTCCCCAGAGACAGTGGGGAGCACAATAGGCAGATCAGTGAAATACATTGCTGAGGGGAGCACCAAGTAAGATAGGAGAGGTCTGCTGTGCCACGTGGATTACTTCCCCAACCAAGTATTGAGCTTGCACTGAAGTGGCTGTAGCTAGCTTGCAGTGCTGCATCCAAACCCATTCTGCCACCAGGGAAGGCTGATCATAATATATTTTCATCTCAGACTCATTCTCCTTTATTTCATCACTAATTTTTCTAAGGTGTGCATAAGGAATTCTTTGCAGATTAAATACTTTTTCTTTCATAACTTCAGGTATGTTTTTAGTTAAGTGTGTGTATACATACACAGAAGCATGTATGTGTTTGTGTCTACATATATTACACACGCACACAAATACATATGTTTTATATCATTGTTAATTTTTGTATTATGTTTGATGTCTCCTCTCAGGTGTAATCCCCATAAAATTCCCACCACCAAGACACCCATGACCCATCACTATAATCTCCTGTGCTGTTCCCTCTCCAGCCCTTGTTGTATATCTCCAATTTATAGTTTGCCTGCTGGTTTTTTTCTCCTACCCCTTGTTTGGTTCTCTATATACCTCCTACTGTTGAAACCACCTAATATTTTTCTTTTTCATTTGTATTGATCTCACTGAGCATAATCCCTTCTAGCTCCATTCATGTTGCTGCTAATGGCATTTTATCTTTTCTAAATGCTGAGTAGTATTCCATTGTGATTATATACCATATCTTCTCGATCTGGGCAAGGGTATTTTTGGGTATGTTGATTGTTTCCATATCTTAGCTATTGTAAACAGTGCTGCAATAAACAGGGTAGTGCAGATCTTCTTTCAATTTAATGTTTATGTGTCCTTTGGGTAAACTCCTAGGACTAAAATTGTGTCATTTGATAGCTCCTTTTTAGTATTTTTTTTAAAGATTTATTTATTTATTCATACAGAACTAGGGTACAGGCCAGAGATGCGAGGGTGAGAGGATTCACCAGGGACAGAGTGGGGAGCAGAACAGGCAGATCGACGAAGTACACTGCTGAGGGGAGCAGTGGGCGGGTCAGGAGAGGTCTGCCTCGCCATGTGGATCTCCCCCATGGAAAGCGGGTATCGAACTCATGCGCAAGTGGCTTAAGCTTCTTAGTGCAGTGCTTTAACCTGATGCGCCACCAGGGAGGGCCTCCTTTTTTAGTATTCTGAGGACCCATCACACAGTTCCACACCCTCACAAGCATTTGTTGTTTTTTAATATGGGTCATTCTCACTGGTGTGAGATGATATCTTATTATGGTTTTGGTTTACATTTCCCTGATTATAAGTGATGTTGAGAAGTTTTTTCATATAACTGTTGGCCATTTGCATTTCCTCTTGTAAAAGTGTATTTTTAGCTCTTCTATTTGCTTTTTACTGGATTTTTTTGCTTTCTTTTTGTTGAGTTGCATCAGCTTTTATTAGATCATTGATATTAATCTCTCATCAGTTATGTGGAGTGCAAATATTTCTCCCAGCCTGTAGAGTGTCTCTTGATCTTAGCTATTGTCTCTTGCTACACAGAAGCTTTCTAGTTTAATGTAGTCCCACCTGTTTATCATTTCATTCATTAAGAAAGCTTCATGGATGAGTCTTTGAAGATGTTTCTAACATGCATGTCATAGATTGTTTTGTCTATGTTTTCTTCTTATATATTCTATGGTTTCCAGTTTTATATATACTTTGAGTTGGTTTTTGTGTACGGTGTGAGGTAGTAGTACAATTTCCTTCTTTTGTATCTAGCAATCCAGTTTTTCCAGTACTATTTGTTGAAGAGACTATCCTTCTAGAGACCACTATCCTTCTTCCAGAGCAAAGTCTTCACTCCTTTGTCTATGGCTAACAAACAAATCTAATTATCAGAAGAGATGGACACATTCTTAGAATTATATAATCATCCAAGACTGAATAGGGAAGGAGAAGAAATCCTTAAGAAACCAATTACAGACAAGAAAATTGAAAGGATAATCAAAATCCATCCAAAGAACAGTAGTCCAGGACCATGTGGTTAAACTAGCAAGTTCTACCGTACCTTCACAGAGAAATTAAAACTCTTCCAAAAACAAACTAAGGCAAAGGGAATACTTTCAAAGACATTTTATGAAACCACAAAAACCCCGATATCAAAACCAGACAAAGACACCACAAGAAAATAAAACTAGAGACCAATGTGCAGATGAACATTCATGCAAAAATTTCAACAAAATCTTAGCTAATCAAATTCAGTAATACATTGAAAGGATCAAACACCATCACCAAATGGAACTTATTACACAGATACTATAGTGACTCAATTATTTGAAAAACCAATCAATACAATTTACTGTGCCAATTAAAAGAAATATAAATCACATGATCACACCAACAGATATCAAGAAAACATTTGATAAGACTCAAAATTCATTCATGACAAAAATCCTCAAAAAATAGGGAGAGATGAAACATATCTAAGCATAATAAGGCCATCTATGACAAACCAACGGTTAATATCATTCTCAGTTGTGAAAAAAGTGAGATAGGAACATAATGGAGAACTATGGATATTTTGGTTCTGGGTGTGGTATAGAAAATAAAACTAGAGACCAATGGAAAAAAAAAGGAACTGAAATATCTTCTAAAGAAATATGTGATAATTGAAAACATATATTCAAATGTTCAAACTAATTCTCTAGTTCCACTTTGTACTCTAGCATGTACAAAAATAACGTGTTAGTCTATTAAAATGTATATTCCAAGGATTCCTCTGGAGAGATACTATTAGCAACAGATATAGAATAGATAACCATGCCCACTCACCTCTTTTCCCATACCAATAGAGAGAGTACCCAATAAAAGAACAGTGCCTCAGAGAAAAGGAAGCTTTTCTAGGTATGTGAAACATTTTAAATATTAAAAATAATCCTAACAAACAGAAGTTTCCAACCACCTGCTTGAAACAGTCACTTTCACACTGTATGTTTCAACTCATTAAAAGGGTCCTGTATCAATTTACTAAGACTACATTATGGTAAAAATAAAGGAAATATTATACATTTTAAGATTAGTGTTGTCATAAAATGCTTGTTTCAGGGCTTGTGTGTGCAAGAGGAAGAATAAATGTAACATGTACATTGAAAGATAAGACATATTTCTATGCATTGCAGTTACAAATGCATGGAAATCATTTGCTTAGCTTTAGCAAGAGATAGTAGTAATATATAGCCTTCCAAGTCAGATCTTCAAGAAGAATTCTTCTATTGAACTATGGAAGGGTCTGTGGGGAAGTAACACATTCCTTATTCACAATCTCAGATGTTGATGGAAACCTTACCTGAAGGTATCTTTGGGGAAGAAGCATATTGGTATTTCCACATAGAAATGGCAGATCTCTCTCGATTCAGCAGCCCATTTATTCTTTCTGCTAGTCCACCTCTGTATAATGAATTATAATGTATTAAGTTTAGTTAATAGAACAGCTTCAGAAAAGTTAAAGACACTTAGATTTTATATACTTCCACCATTAACAAAGAGATAAAACATTTAAATTTTACCTTATTTGGCAGTACATCCTTTTCCCAGAGGCCAAATCTTCATAGTAAGTAATATCCTTTGTTAACATTCTTAGAAGTATTCTAATTTTTAGAAATATGGGCTACATTCAGAGTAATTTGACTCCCTTTCTACTTTTTTTATTCTTATTCTAAAAACACGCGTTGATTACATGTTACCTGTTCAGCCTAGCAAAATGTTAGCAGAAACTAGCAGGAAGTATACGATGTGGCAGACAGAGCAAGCTCAGAATCTGCTTGGCAGATGAGAGAAGCAGATAAATGCAAAGAAGAAGACTTATAGTGTAGTCAACGAAAAAACTCTTAAACTGCTGATAGTATGCTAAAAAACTAGGATTTGGAAATGGGCTTATTATTTAGATCACAAAGATAAATGAGTATTAATTACAAACACACACTGTTATTAGAAATTGCATGACAAGAAAATAATTCAGATAGTTTACACATAGAGATATCATAAAAGTCCTTAAAAAAAAAAGTCCATCTGGCCCTCCCTGGTGGCGCAGCGGGTTAAAGCACTGCACTAAGAAGCCAAAGCCACTTCCGCATGATTTCGATCCCCGCCTGCCCTGGAGGAGATCCACATGGCATGGCAGACCTCTCCTGGCCCGCCCGCTGCTCCCCTCAGCAGTGTACTTCGTTGATCTGCCTGTTCTGCTCCCCACTCTGTCCCTGGTGAATCCTCTCACCCTCCGCATCTCTGGCCTGTACCCCAGTTCTGTACGAATAAATAAATAAATCTTTAAAAAAAAAAAAAAAAGTCCTTCAAAAAAAAAAAAAGTTGGATGTCAGAAACTGCTCACTTTTCTGAACCTAGTGATGTATTGAATAAAAAAAGATGTTTATGTATTTATAAAGCTTCTAAGAGTCCAAGACAAAGAAAAAATAATGAGCTGATGAGCAAGAAGAAACAATTAGCCTATAAAGGAAACCTAGTTAGGCTAACATCACACTTCTCTGAAGAAATATCATGGGCAAGGAGAAAGTATCCAAAATTACATATTAAAAAAACATTCCAAGACACCAAATGCCAGCTATGAATACTTTATACTGTAAAGTTCTCCTTCCAAAATGAGGGAAGAGGACTTTCTCAGACAAACAAAATTTTTGGGAATGTGTTAACTAAAGAAAATATTGTTCTGTACGAATAAATAAATAAATCTTTAAAAAAAAAAAAAAGTATTGTAAACTACAAGAAAGCTTAGGACCTAATACAACAAGGGAATGAAAATGAAGAACTGAACAAGGAATTAAACAGACCTCATGACCATGATGATGTAATGGCAACAAGACTTCCACATACTATACTAATTCTTACCCTAAACATTAATGGACTAAACTCACAAAAAAAAAAAAAGTCTGAAGCTAACATGTTAGATTAAAAAACAGAATTCAACCTATTTCTGCTTCTAGGAAATGCACCTAAGTTCTAGAGATGAACATAGACTGAAAGTAAAGGATTGGAAAAAAATTCTACAAACAGCACCCAAAAGAAAGTGGGAGCAGTCATTCTGATATCAGATAAAATCAATTTCCTGCTGCAAAAGGTGACAAGTGACATAGATGGACACTATATAATGGGATAATAAACCAGGAAGACCTGACATTCAACAATCTGTATACAATTACTATTATCTGTGAAAACAGACACAGGGGGAAATACATATGCTGTAGGAGACTTGGATACCTCACTATGACCAATCAAGAGATTAAACAAGGTAACATAAACAAGACACAATAGCCTTAAATAGCCCTAAAGTTCTAAACCTCATGGGTCTATAGTACACTGCACCCCCAAATACCCAATACACATTTTTATCAAGTACGCACATTTCATTCTCCAGATTTGACCTTCTACTGGGCTGTAAAAACCATCAACAAGTACACGAAGGCTGAAATCATACCAAGCAACTGCTTTGACAACAAAGATACAAAATTAGAAACCAGCTACAAAAAGAAAAGAATGGATATCCCCCACTAGATGGAGATTGAACAATATGCTACTGAAAGACCACTAGGATAATAAGGAAAAAAAAAATTATGACAAATGACATGAGAACAAAAACTTCTAGAATATATGGGAGATGGCACAAACAATATTAGAGGAAAGTGAATAGTAATAAACAAAAACTTGGCATAAAAGAGCATATTTTAATAAAAGTCATATGTCACAAACCCACAGCTAATATCATTTTCAATGGTGAAAAAATGAAACTCTTTCCATTAAGCTCTGGAAGAAGACAAGAATGTCCACTCTTGCAACGGGTTCTCAATATAGTACCAGAAGTTCTAGTTAGAGCAATTAGGGAAGAGAAAGATATAAAAGAAATCCAATAGGAAACTAAAAGTGAAATTATCATTATTTGCAGATGATATATAATATTCAGAGAACTCTAAAAAATCCATAAACTAATTAAAATAATAAATCAGTTCAGTAAAGTAGCAGATTATAAAATCTATATAAAAAAAAAAGAACTAGTTACTTTGTAAGTTTATCAGATATATGCAGCCATACAGCAGGGGAGGGGTTAGGGTAAGGAGTCAAAATGGAAGGAAAGAACATAAAGGACTGTGGTAATGGGTCACATGTGCTGTGGTGGTAGGAGAACCACAGGAACTATGTATGAGGAGAGAAGTAAAATACGATTCAAAAATTAGCAACGCTGTAAGAAAAATTTTAATTAAGTAACAAATAGGTAGGTAGGCAGACAGACACAGATAGATAGACAGACTGATAGACAGACAGATAGAGATAAGGAAAATTAGTCATTCTTAGAAATGGGCTACTCATTTTCATATGTTCCTTACAGCATTACTTTCTATGACCTGAAGTAAGACTTTAGAATTTCATTGATTCTGAAAACTCCAAATGCAAAATAGACAGAAAAATGAGCAGAAAGGAAGCAATAATGTTCCTTTAAGTTACTTTAGGCTGAATTAAGCAGACTATCAATATTTAAAATATCTTTAAAATTAATGAGAAACCCTATAGCAGTTCATGTTCTTCTGAAAACAGATAGAACAAGAGTTGTTTTTGAGAAAATTTCACATATGTGTACATGGGGAAAAGTGCACATATTCTAATATTATTTTAATCAGAGAAACTTGGGAAACTAATAGTGATCAAAAGGAAAATGTGTAAGAAAAAAATGTATGTATAGATAGATGGAATTTTACTATACAAGAATTATAGTGATGGACCAGCAGTATATGTATCACTATGAAGCATGTCAAAATATAATGCTATTCCTTACATAAATCTTTTAACCAGAAAAGTCTTTAAAATTAATAGAAATACATTATTTAGCTAGAACATATGGAATAAAGATTTTAAATAAGCATCAATTTATCAAATACCAAATTCAAGACAGAAGTTAGTTCTCAAAAAAAGGAGAGTGAACATGAGAGTGAAGAGATGCTAGGATAAATTTCTTCCATATAAACAATAGAGAGGGAGAAATATAGTGAGTTCCTGAGAGAACCCGAACTTGTTAGACGAAGTGGGTGACGAAAGTGATTAGCCAGGACACAGAGGAAAGCTGGAATGTCAGGGAAAAGAGAAGAGAGAGAGAGAAACTCTCAGAATGGAGGTATCACACTCCCAGAACTCAAACTATGCCATAAAGCCATAATAAATAAAACTATCAGATACTGGGACAAAAACAAACATATATAAACCATGAAATCAAATAGGGAACCCAGAAATAAACTCACAGATTATGGACAACTAATATTTGACAATGGAACAAAAATATGCAATGGAACAGGTAGAGTCTGTGCAACAAATAGTGCTGGGAAAATTGGACTGCTATATGGAAAAGAATGAAGCTAGACTACTACCTCCCACCATGCACAAAAACGAACTCAAAATGTCTCATTGCCATGAGACATGAAACCATAAAATATATGGAAAAAAGCTACATGACATACAACTCTGTAACAACTTTAAAGATACATCCCAAAGCAAAGAAAGTGAAGGAAAAGATGAACAGCTGGAATTACAGCAAAATGTAAAGCTTCTGTACAGCAAAAGACATTAACCAAAACAAAGAGATAAACTACTGGTTGGGAGAAAACTTTTATACACTATAATACAGATAAGGGACTGAGCACAAAGATCTACAAAGAACTGACATTATTTAACAAAAAACTGTAAACAATCCAGTCAAAAATGGGTAGAAGAGCTAAGAAGACACTTCTTCAAATAGGAAATGCAAATGGCCAACAGGTATATGAAAAGATGCTACATGGTCATTTGTAATCAGTGAAATGAAAATCAAAACCACAATGAGATACCACCTGACATCAATGATAGTGGCACATATCTTTAAACAAACAAACAAACAAACAAACAAAAAAGTACCAGCAAATGTTGGGTGAGATACGGTGGGAATGCAAACAGGTCCAAGTAGGGAAAACTGTGCAGAGGTTCCTCACTATTAAAAATTGAGCTCCCATATGATCCAGCAATTCCACTCCTAGGAATCTACACAAGTGACACAGAAACATTAATTCAAAAAGATACGTGGACCAATATGTTTATTGAAGCACTATTTGTAGGAGGTAAGACATGAAAACAACCCAAAAGTCCAAAAATGGATGACTAGATCAAGAAATTATAATATATATATATATATACACGATGGAACATTATTCAGCAATGAAAGAAGGTAAACTAATGACATTTACAGAAGCAGGAATGGAGCTAGAAGAGATTATGCTCAGAGAAACGAGTCAGAAAGAAAAAAGAAAAACACTGGATAGTTTCACTAACAGGAGTAATATAGGGGAAACAAATAAGAGTCAGGAAAAAAATATATAATAAATTTAAAAAAAATGAAAAGGCAACTATAAATCAGAGAC